GTCCAGAACCTAGTACGAAGCAAAGTGAAGGACAGGGTCTGGTTTTAACCAGGCTAAGTTACCCCAGAACTTACTCAAGATTTTCTCTTATCCTGCTTTCTGAAACAGAGCCCTGCTCACTCTCAAAAACAAAGCAAATAAAACGACCCTCAGTTTATAGTAAACTCATAAAAAAAAAAATCACTGGTAGGTAATCCTGAATTTTAAAATCCAGGTACTCACTCAGTGCAAACATGCTTTTGCTGAATTAACCAATGAGWCGTTTTAAGCAAGAATTAAAATAGTCCGACGACAAATGTACAGTTAGTGTAGCAAGCGTAAATATTTTTTTCACCTCTGGTTCTTCTTCAGTCTGCTGTGCTAGCTGGTCATGCTGAATGATCTCAGCTTCGTCCTCAGTGGGACCATTGCCAACCCTGATTCCTCCAAAATTCTGTGTACCCTGTCAAACAGAAGGGACAAAATAGTCTAATTAAAGGGATACGTTTTGTGCTGCATTGGTCATACAAATTAATCATGAGATTATCATCTTACCAGACGTTTACGCCACAAATACTCGCTACGCAAAACCAGAGTTTTTACAACTAACATACAAGGAACGCACGCCAAGGCAATTAACACCAAAAATATTTGCAGACCCATCTGAAAAAAAAAACAGAAAGGAGGACAAAGATGAACATTAAATATAATAAACTTGTTGAGCTGATTCCTAAAATTAATGGATTTTATTAGTTTAAAGCGTCTGACCTGCCCTCTGTAGAGAGGCTTTATGGTGGGGTCGTTGTAGCTGAACAGGAACATGTTAATAAAGGAGATGAGGAGACTGGGAGCCTCCATGGAGGTCCGTGCATCATAAGAGACCCACTTAAAGAAGACCAGAATGACCAGGTAGCCAAAGAGACTGGACATGAAGACAATCTCTGGGATGAAGCCCAAGTAGATATTCAGTGGCTTTTTGAAATATCTGCAAGAAACCACGGACGTTTGCTCACAACGGCAACAACGCAAACATTCGAAAAGCAAAAATAACATAAAAAAAGATGAAACTCTTACAGGTGGTTGAAGAGACTAAGTGTGACGCCAAAGAGCATGTGGATGACTCCAAGGATAATGGACATCTTCATCTTGAAGGAGTTCAAGAACGTCAGCTTGTTGATTGAAATACTCCAGATCTGAGAAACGTTACAAACAAATCAATTCTCTTTGCACATTCAATTATATGAAAACGTCACAGAATTTGAAATCATTTCAACATAAAGAGAAAAATAAAAAGGTCAGAATGAAATTATTTACTGGATCGATGCCAATAGGGTACGGCCCATTAAACACTCCCTCCACTGCTGGATCCAACTGCAGAGCTGCATTGCCAGAAAGTGTGTCGAACCTGAAAGAGATGAAAGAGACACTGCAGGTATTTTTTTATTATTATTTGAATGATATCACACCAACTCAAAATTAACTAAAAGCACTTGGAGAGTGCAAACCTCTGCCAAGACCAATTCCCCCCATCCTGTAAGAGTTAATGCGCAAAAGCAGAGATGGAAACACATTTGCAGAATAAGTTGTGACGTAGCGAACATTTAAGCAGGCAGTATGCATGGGATTTCTTCTTGGTGGAATCCAATGTGGAAAAAAAAAAAAAAGTCAGACTCGTCACCCGACATTATTCATCATCAAACTGGTGTCGGATTAAGCTCCTAAGTTTTCATCAGTCACATTTCACCAAGTAAAACGTCCGTTTTATCTCCTTGTATGAGTTTGTAATGGTTTGACTCTCTTTATAAAGTGCTTCCTGGTTCCCCCGTCTCCAAACTTTGAGGCCCGGCAGCTCTCTGTTTACAAGCTCTAGTAGCGAGAAACTGTTTTGATTGGTTGTTTCGGAAATGTGRTGTGTTTGAGGAAATGGGAAAAATAGGTTTCATGGTGCAGTCACGCACTTTCTGGTCACAAAACGTTCTGTAAATGCGCACCAAATGTGTAAAAATGTGCACATTATGGCAATATTTTTTCATCATTAAATCTGGTTTTAACATTACTTTTTTTTTTTTTTTGGATTGTAGTCCGTGCTGTCCAGTCCAGCTCACTGTTTTTTACAGAAGCCCTGTKAAAGCATCACAGCTTTGCCGATCTCAGAGTGTTAGAAAAAAATTCCTGTATCCGCATCGTAATCCGGAACATCACCAAAATTTAAAGGTGTGTTCCTTGGCCCAGTACCCACATGTGTTAAAAATGTCATGACAATCCATCCACAAGTTTCTGAGTAATGTTGTCCACAGACAGAACAACAGACAGACCGACATATGTGACTGGAAACATTACCTTGCCCTTCGTGGAGGTAATTAGTACAGAAAAAAGGACAAAAGACGTTCTGTTTAGGACAGACATGCAGATGTTAACTTTAAAGCTCAAAATGACTCCGTTTATGGTCTGGGACACTTACGTCCAGTTGGCTCCTTTGTTCCCAAACATCGGCCTGACGCTCCATCCAGAGCCGAAGACATTCAAGGATTTTGAGAAGCAGTCGTTGTAAATAATCCCAGTATAAACTGAGAATATTCCCATCAACAGGATGATGTAGCGCCCCGCAAACACCATGCTGAAAATCTGCCAAATACAGAAAATAATCCAAGGAGAACATTCTAAACGTGTTTCTCCAAGTGAGGACGAATCAAAGGCTGCAGTTTTCTCCAGACGGTCTAGTACCGATGAAATGACAAGGATGTGATTATTACCTCATTATCATTCTTCTGGGCCATGAGCCTGCTTTCTCTCAACACAAGGTACAAAGCAGCACAGGTCATGAGCGTCCCGTGACCCAGGTCGCCGAACATGACAGCGAACAGGAAGGGGAAGGTGATTATGGTGTATGGTGCTGGAGACGAGAAGGCAGGAATAACACAAAAGGGAGGGTGAAATGGTACATGGAGACACAGATGAGGGAAACGTGCTGAGAAACATTTTCCCCAAAAATGTGATTATGGATGATGAGACGGCTGAGAAAACCCACAGAATGATCCGTGTCATGACAGAGGTCAAAGTTCAATATGATTTAACATGTACCTGGATTCATCTCACGGTAGTTGCCAATTCCATAAGCATCCACAATATTCTGGAAACCTGAGGTGAACTTGTTTGTCTTGTTATATGTGGGTGGCGTCTGCTTGGTTTGCATTCGATTGAGAATGGAAGGCACATTGGAGCCACTTTTCTCCTAAATTTAATGAAACATAAAATAAAAGATGTATTTTCTTCAAACATAATTTCTAAAGGCCTATTCCCAAAAAAATGGAAACCAAATGTTCATCTTAATGGGGAGAGAAAAAGCTAAAAAGTGAAACAGTTCAGAAGTAACTAGGCTGCTTGAATTCTCGTATTTTTATGTTGCCATCTTGCATCACAACATGGCCTGAATTTCATGTCAAACAATAAAAACAGAGCAGTGTTGCAAAACAACTGAGAAAGCACAATAATAAGCAGATATGTAGTCACATACGTGTGTTTTCACTAACTCACCGTCCCCCTTCGAAGGGCGAACTGGATGGAGTCCAAGTCAGAAACAGGACACCACACCTCAGCAATCAGACACTTCTGAGTGACGTCGATGTTGCAGAGGTTCAGGGTGTGGTAGATGGCCTTCATCTTCCTCACTTTAATGAACCACACTCTGACTGTTTTAGCTGCAGCCTGCAGGACTCTCTGCCTGTGGTCTTCGGTCTGGTTCAGCACCTTTGGGAGCAGAAGCAGCAGACGTCTTTTTAATCAATTCTAATTGTGGGTCAATGCGTCAAAGAAATGCCACCCTGATGTGGTGGAGGGATTTGCTTTCTAGTGATCATAAGTTCATTGTTGTGAACACTTCACTCAGAGGGATCTTCAAAGCAAATAGTGAAGAGTGAGTCAGTTTTAGAGACAGGATATTCCCAAGCAAAGATCTTGGAAACATTGATAACATATGAAAAACAAATTCAAGCGGCTGAGATGAACAGTTGCTGAGATATTTGAATGTGAAGTAACAGGAAGTGATGTCGAAGGGGAATGTCTGAATGTAAACAGAGCRTTGCTGGAACAGCTGACAGAAGCGAAGAATCTCATGTTTTTTAGATTTTGAATCCATCAGAGATGAAGAAAAGTTGGAGTTTAAATATCATTGTTTCAATAAACAAAGCTCAGGGAGTTTTCTTTCTTAGAGAGTTCCCCTTTGATGTCACTTCCTGTTTCACTTTGGCTGAGCCAAGTTCAAAAGAATATGCCAGTAATGAAGAACTTTGGTAAAATCATGTTTATTATACTATTTCTTACAGGGTTCATGCATTTTTCAGAAGTTCAATTTAAGACCTTTTAAAAGACCTTTTAAGACCATTATGACTGACATTTAAGACCAAACCGACGCATTAATAAAAATATTCAAATGATCCCAGACATTTCTACATAGAAACCTTTTATTGCTTTCAATTTAGTGATTAAAGAATATTTAATTTTAATACAAGATCACTAATTAGAGTCAAGCTCTGATTACAGCACTTTGTTCTTGTTCATTTATGCAGCCAACGCTTCTCGGGACGAAAGTAAAATAATTAAGACTTGACTAAATTAAATTTAAGACCTTGGATGAAAATATGGGCATTTTTAAGACTTTTAGGCCTAAAGTTTAGATTTCCAAATTTTAGACTCTTTTAGACCCTACACGAACCCTGCCTTAAATATAAAATTATTAATATAATTTCTTAAATATAGGTTTTCTTTGACTTTTTGGTATTAAAAGGATGTGCATGTCACAGACACTGAACTTTGCACAGCTCCTGGCTCAAACACTGCTGAGGCTATCTCCAAACATTAGACTGCAGTCCAAAGAGCTGCACATTTACACTGATGTCATTTCGCTCACATCAACAAAAACAAAACTGTAACCACAAACTCAATAATTCCCCATCACACACAGACAAACRACACAATTAGGTTTTCTACACGTTCTCTGCTTCTGTTGGTGATCCTACAAAGTGACATTACATTTGAATAAAACAGATAAAAAAACAGTTTTATTGAGCTACAACTCAGGTTTTCTCATACAAGTCTGAAATATGATGCAAAAGCTGCACAGGGTGAAATTATAAAAACACAAAACAAACATTATGAGCAAAACTGAGGGAGAAAAATTCCTTTGAGCTACTTTATCTTGCAGTAGATAAGGAGCCACTGAGAAGGACACCACACAAACTAAAACTAACTTTATTGGAAAGAAAACACTGTGCAATAAAGAAGCACTAGTTGACTAACTTATCTGAGCAATAGAGAGGTATATTCTACAATTTCTTTCAGACTGTTGCTAATAAAAAGTAGAAATCTATTTTTCTGACCTGTCAAAAAAAACGAAGAAGAAAACAAACCACTTCAGTCATGTGTTCCTGAGTGTTGAAGAGTTAAAACTTTGGATCTGATTATTTACTCACCATTTGCAGGTCATCAATTCGAGCGTTCACTCCTGCCAGCATCTCTTTCCTCTCCTGAGGAGTTTCGGGACATGGGTACAATGTTGCTCTGAATCTAACATATAAACAAGTAGAGAAAAAAAAAAAAATCGGTCATTAAAGAACAGTTTCTACATCACACACGTTGTTGAGCTGCTCACCCCTCACAGATCTTCTTCACTCTATTCTTTAACTGGTCCCCCTGGAAAAATATGATGAAGACGCTCTTATAGACTTGGTCGCCCTGTGAAAACATTGGACAGTTAATCCTTTTCGGATAAAAAAATAATCTTGAACCATATGGCAAAACTGACACTGAATGAATAAGACTGACTGAAGTGGGGTCTTCCAGAGGGTCTTCGATGTTAGCCTGCCGCAGGAACACATTTCCTCTGCAAACTCTCCACAACATCCTCTCAAACGTGGGAATTCGCTCCCTGCCGATGACTCCAGCTACAAATCTAAAACGGAGGGGAAAAAAAATCTGCAGCTATTTAGTTGGTCAACAAAAGGCTTATTCTTATTGTTTCAATGAAAAAAGATGGGTTTAAGCACTTTTTTTTAACAAAACATTTTATGCTATTTTCCTTTAGTTGTGATTAAAGGAAAAGATAAMAAAACCTAGTTGTTTTTATCCACTTTTAGAGCAGATTTGTTTCTTAGATGGTCTCAACTGCCAGAGGCACTGCAAAAACTGTCCATCTTACCAAGTTTTAAAATCTTATATCAGCCAAAAAGTCTTTTTCATCTTGTTTTGAGACTGATTTACTAAACAAGAACTGATTGTGTAAGAATAATAATCTTGTTTTCAGAATGTGTAAGATTATTTGTCTGGTTAGTCTGAAAATTTGACTCAAAGTCAAAAATTTCTGCCAATGGAGTAAGAATTTCTTTTTACTTGGTAAGATTCTTGAAATAAGAAAAAACTAAGTCAAATCAAGTATTTTAAGAATCTTACCAAGTAAAATTTTCTTACACCATTGGCAGAAATTTCTGACTTAATTTGAGTCAAATTTTCAGATTAACAAGACAAATAATCTTACACATTAGTTACACAATCAGTTCTTGTTTAGTAAATCAGTCTCAAAACAAGATCAAAAAGACTTTTTGGCTGGATATAAGATTTTAAAACTTGTAAGATGGACAGTTTTTGTAGTGCAGGAGAGCCTGACTTTTTAAGTCATTCCCGAGTTGCAACATTTCAGTTTTAAGCACAGATGATCAAAGTGCGTTAGCTGAAAATCTCACCCCACAAAAGGATCTTAATCCCTTTAAATTATAGATGCCTGCGTCTCAGACTCACCCTAATCGGAGCGGAGCCACTCTGTTGGGCTCGTTGGGGTCCAGCAGAATGGACGACTCTTCCAGTAAACTGGGATCCTCCATCTGCAGAACAGCAACAACTCATCAACATTTCTGCAGCTGAACTTTAGTGTAAATAATTATCCAACGTTCAGACGACAATCTTAAGTTTGTTTGCAGATTTACACAGCAGAAGGGTCGTTCTGTGTTTGCTTTAAACATAAACAGCACTTTCCCTACAAATTATYGTGTACAAGTGATCCTTTGTTCAATGATTCACCTCAATCAGAGCTTAAAACTTGTAAAAGATCCCTTTACACCGTCAGCTGACTGACTTATGCTTATGGAGGGCAGCGGAGAGGAAATAATGTTGGGCAAAGGTGGGTTGGCGGAGGAGTTATTCTGGCTCATTAGACTGGAGTAAAGTATCACACAGCAGCAGAAGCACAAAAAAACAATGATATACGAATGTTTGGTGTGAATGTGCTGCAGCCACACGAGCAACTGTGAAACATCACGAGTGAGAACAAGTTTTGCCAAATGAAGCGTGYCTTTATGTTTCAGTGAGATAAGATTAAACTGGTAATAAAAAAGACCGAGTTTCGATTGAAAAAAAACAGTTTCCATCTTGTGCCAAAGAAAACAATAAAGCTCAGAATTTTAACTGATAAACCGTTACAACCAAAAACAAAAAACTAAAGTAAAAGCGAGCCTTCTTCTATGTTGCAAACACTACAGCTTAACGTTTTCTGAGGCCTGTGAAAACACTGAAGCTGACCTCATTAAAAAACTGCTGAGTCCGATGTAAAATGTGCTTCAGCTCAGTCAATTCCAGGAAGTTCTTCTTCAGGGCCTCTTGGTTTGTGTTGATTTCCTTCAGYTCGTTTTCAAGCTTCTCAAACGTGGCCTGGGGTTGATAAAAAAAAAAAAACGAGGATAAGCAGAAGTTTAAAAAAAAATAAGACGGAGCTTCAGTGTTAGCATTAAGCTCGAGTGGTCACCTCTAGGTCGATCATGTCCCTTGGAAAAGGGACTTCAGGGTTCTCTCCTGTGTCAGTTATCGCGATGTTGGCCCTCTTGATTTCTTTTTCCACAAATCCTGTGAATGAGGAAAAAACCCTCTAATCATACACATGAACTAATCTCTTTTATAAAGCTTTGAAGGAAGAAAACTAAACAAATAGTTTGTTTTTGGGTAAAACAAAGTAACTGGCAGCATCCACTGATTATAAAAAATAACTTTAAATGACTTTTTGATTTAAAATAACAAATCATCCAAGCTCACTCAGTTTTCGATCCATCTCTTCGCAGCGTCGGACTTCGTTGACAAACTTCCTCTGGAACACGTTGACGTCAGGATTTAACTACAGGTGAAACAAAAACGAACAATTCACCAAACGTGTTACACACAAACTGGTTCGCACCAATAGTTTCTTAGGCTGCTAAATGATGTCGACATCTCATAAGTTCTTGCGAATAAAATCTCACTGCTATTGCACAAAATGTTTCTGTTTCCATATTCTGTATCTGAGCACAAAGCTTGCCTCGGGACTTGTCAGGAATAAGCTTGGAATGAAGGGTCAGCTGTGAGCACATGATGCAGAAGGCATGCACCGTCTCATAAGCACTGCTGACTGATTTCAAATCACCCTAACGGTTGGCTAAAAATGACTAAAAAGTTTAAGGAGCACTGACTTTCTTTAAAGAAGCACTTCTGTATAACACTGGACTTACATCACGAAACTGCACCATCCCGATCTCTCCCAGTTCACTGACGCAACAGTAGGCCGCTTCCGACTGGAGGAAGAGCTGAGCCAGCGTCATCTCCTCACTTCTGAAGAGCTCTCCCATGTTGAGGGACGAGCGCRCTCGGCCACCCTGAAATCAACGAGGACCTGTGGAAAACGTACATCGATGGGATTCATTAATAAAACTTGAAGGATTTCAGGTGTACTGCATTCATCACTTTCCCGTGGATGGCATCCTGTTGCCATAATGGCTAACGAGGGAGGCTTACAATGCTGTGTTAGTTTTGCACCACTGTGTGACAAAAAATAAATACTACCAAGGTTTCACTATGGTCTCATGACTGGTGCTGGGATGTTAAGAAGGAGGCCTTTGATCTGTATTAGTACACGGTTTTATTAATTAAATAAAATAACTTTAAACTGAGCAGCAAAACGACCACACAGGGATTAATGTGAGGATTACAAGGTAGCATGTGATCTGTGTAGGATTCAAAGACAGCAGCTCCAGGAGCAAGCAGGAAACATAGCAACATTTATGAAAGTTAATAAAGCACATTTCACAAATTTAATAAGCTGCTGACTTTACACTATACCCCTTTCACAGATAAATATTGGTGAACCAACAGGAACCAAACAAACCCCTTTTTCCTTGCACAACCGAGACGTWTGCTATTTTACAAACGTCACGACGGTAAAGCTAGGCGTCAACAAGGCGTTAATTAGCAAATTAGCTAACATTAACAAGTCATTAGTTAAATCGTATACTGCCTAATGTAATTAAGGCGATTTTTAATACAGAAAACAAGACGGGGTGAAGTTATTTTATGCTTTCTTACTATTCTCTGATACAAAATAAAACAAATTTTAGYTTATTTGCATTTTGAATCGAGCTAACTCCGATTTAGCACACTTGTTGATCGACAACTTCAGGGCCCCAAAAAAACGTAGCAACGTCCGACTAAAATAGTTTTTAATTTATTTGTATTCTTACTGTTTCGGTGCGGGTTCAGCTCCCTCTCCACTGTGTTCGACTCCTTCGGCTTTTCCTTGAATGTTTGCTGCGGTGCAGTCAGTCACTCGGTGGTTTGAGGAACTCGGTTACGACGCCTCGAAGCGGAACAAATATCCGATTGACGCTTTAACGAGTCACGTGACACAAACAGCCAACTTCTATTGGCCACGAGCGCTGGCTCAAGCAAAACGTCTTATTTTGAAAAAGCATGAACGGAAGTGGTCATAACTCCACGGACACAAAACATCCAAGAACAAAATTATAAACATTAGATAGATATTTTAAGCAGTTTGTGTGACAGTATATTTTTTATCTTGATTTTTATCTTGAGCATATTGACGACGTTTAAATTTGCCTAAAGCTTCACACGCAAATTAGGTAAGTACACGAGCTTATGACTTTTTTTTTTACATGGATTCTGAAATTTGTTTATATTTTTGTATCTTTACCGGAAGTCACAATGTGTTGTTTGTATCAACACAAACTTATTAAACYTGTATCATATAAATCTGTCTTGTTTGACCGCTGGGTGTCAGAAAACACTTGATTCTAAATGCAGTTTTTGGACTTTGTCAAATATAGAATATTTTTTAGAACCCAACAAATACATCATTTCAGAAAAAAAATTAAACTTTGTATTAGTCCTAAAACACAAGACAATAAATTTTCGTGGGTAAAATAATAAAGTTTAACCAAAAAGATCAAGATTTTTCTTTAAGTAGTTTAGGTCCTTTTTTGAAAAAAAAAAAAAAAAAAAAAAAAAACATATTGTAAATCGGAAACCTAATCAGACACTAATACTGCCATCTAGTGGACCGATAAGAAACTGCAAACAGGTTTTAATAAATAAAGGTCCTAACTTCCGGTTTAAAAAAATAAATGTCCAACGTTTATGCTAAATTTTCTAAAAAGGAGAAATTACATTTTTAATGTGTYGCAACATTTATGATCTCCACCCACACAAACATATTCCATAACCTGCTAACTTTTTTTAAACCTTTTGTACTTTTTGTTAAAAATAATAAAAAAAAAAACACACCCTGTGCAAAGTCATGAAGACCAGASCAGAACAAGGAAATAAATACATAAATAAAGTATATATAGAAACAAATTGCTTACAATAATGTTCTCATTTGATGGGTGATAAATTCTTAAATTAAAAACTCAAAATGCCAACTAACACGMGCCTTTGTTTATCCATGGAAAAAAGCTGATGGGACTGAAAATAGGTCAAACAATAAACTAATTGGACAAAATTGTTCGTCTTTAAAAACTACAGCCAGCTTGCAGACCAGCCATGTGACTGAAGCCTCCACATTGGGATTCTGCATGYGCTTTGTTTACATTGAGTGTGGACCCTTATTTCAGAAATCAACATTTCTGGAAAATTACTGCGCCATGTAAGGTTTTTATGTTTGATTTCATTCTTTGTAATGACTACCTTTATTTTTGATCTAATTATATTTAAAAAAATAAACATTAGACACAGGGTCATGCAAGTATAAACAAACATTTTTATAAATATAACACAAAACAGAAAAAAAGGGTGGTGGTTGATTTCGTGCTCTGACGTAATGTTTTTTTGTGATGTTTCCATCAGAGGCCTTCACCTTCCTGTGTTATTTAGGAGTTTAGTGCCACTAAAGGAGGTGGGGTCTGGAGACTTCTCTGCCCCAAGCCTAAGGACAGAACGGGGCGGGGCGGAGCCACGGGAGCAGGGGAGGTGGTGGTTGTTGGCCAAGTGTAAGAGGGGAGCCGTTTGAGTGCTTTCACAGACAGCAGAGGCATTTGAGTCGGGGCACACATGCTTCAGCAGTGAGAGGCCCACTCCCCTTGGCTGGCTGGCATCCCAGAGCAGAGGCAGAGAGACTGAGGCTGAGGTATTTAGCTAAAACAGACTTGAAAGAGACAAGCAAGTGGCTCGGAAAGCAGTTTAGAGAGACGAGAGAAGGACGGAAGGTCTGAGGAGAGTAGTGCATTCAGCAGTGAGCAGTTTGACTCGACAGTTATGGCGGACACAGGGATCAAGAAGGAGCACGCACAGGTGCCCTATGATGACGACGAGGTGGCTCTGGTTGGCGCCGCCGCAGAGCCGGCCGTGGACGAGGACGAGGACGACCCCGCCGAGGAGGCCCGAGGCCGGAGCGAAGCCCAGATGAACGGGGTCATGGTTCTGTCCCTGCTGGACAAGATCATCGGGGTGGTGGACAAGATCCAGCAGACCCAGAGCGGGCTCGAGGCTCGGCAGGAGGCCATGGAGAAGTCGGTGTCGTCCATCCAAGGGGAGCTGGCGAAGCTGTCCAAGAACCACGTCGACACGGCCAACACCGTCAACAAGATGCTCGACAAGGTGCGCAAGGTCAGCGTGAACGTCAAGTCGGTGCGGAGCAACCTGGAGAAGCAGGCGGGCCAGATCAAGAAGCTGGAGAGCAACGAGAGCGAGCTGCTGAAGAGGCGCAACTTCAAAGTCCTCATCTACCAGGTGACGTTCGGCTTTTCTTCCATATAATATTGTTTGAAGATGAGCAAAATGGAATTAAAGTCTCAGATGTGGGCGTCGACCCTAACAATCACATGTCAGCTCAGAGCAGGGTGTGTTGCATTCCCCCCCACGCCCTGAGGGAACTTCAGAAAGAAGGTGTGAAATCCACATGAAAGGCTGTCAGGGAGTCAAAACCTGTGAGGTGACCCTTGTTTGTGAAAATGAAAAGGAGACCCCACGGTTCTCCCTCGGTAAGCAGGATGACAGCCAACGCTCAGCGGTTTCCATGACATAAATGTGTGAATCACCCCTTCCTAAAACGCCAACACAGCCGAGATGTTTACAGGCTATCCAACACTGCGCTCCACTGTTCACAGGGTGGGCGTTTCCCTCAGTGGAGACAAAAAACAGTGAGTCCCCTTTTAGTACAGGTAGGGGACCTCTCCAGCTGCGCAGGCCTTCACCATTACCCAGTGAAACTATAAAAAGACTGGTGGTTGCAAAATAAAATATAAGGTCTATAAACACTGGCATGTGGGGCTACGTGAGAACAGAACCAACACCCCGCTTCTGACAGGTTTCAGGACAAATCGTTTACAGGGGAGGAGGAAACGGCAGCTATTGAATTGCAACGTTTTCCTAAATGTGAGCTAAAAGTATAATTACACCAACGTGAGCGCTTGGATTTTTTATTTTAAGAGGTGTTGAGGTTTGTTTTAAATTTAAAAAGTAGCTTTACAGTAGAAACATTTAACAGAAACGTATCAAACTYAAGGCCCGCAGGCCAAATGCGGCCTGCGAGAGACATCTGTCCGGCCCGCCAAAGTTTCCCCGCCACTTTTTTTTTAACTTTAATATGAAAATAATTTTTATATCAAAGGTAAACTTGAAATTTATAATTCAATGCTACAAAATAAACACATTTTGAACACTTGTTTAGTGGAACAGCCCTGTATTAATGTCTCTAAATAAACTGCTACATGCAAACTCCTCCCATAGTGCATGTCGATAATGCAATTTCCTGTTGGAGAGTGGAAAGTTCAGAATTCAAGATGGCAGCTACTTAACTCAACAGTAAGTAAAACTCACTTACTTTTACTTTTAATTAGGGATATGTCGGCATTAACATCAGCCGATACTGGTCATGTTTTAGAAGATCGTATTGGCCCAATATGTAAAACTGGGCCGATGTTGATTTCCCACTTTTTAGTTTTGTGTTTCTGTTTTTGGAGGTGAAATGTTTGGTCAAGTGATATCTGTTTGATCATGATAGTGAAATTGACTGAAGTAGAGCCATGCCAGAGGTCTGGTAGTTTATTTACGATATCGAAAAAAGACACAAGTGTGTTTGTGCGTATATGTATATAAAAAATTTGTGTGTTTATGCAATATCGGTTATCGGCCATAGCAGCAATAATCATATCGGATATCGATATCAGCTGAAATTTTCACATCGGCGCATCCCCACTTTTAATAGTACTTTTGTATCATTTATTTCCCATTTAGTCAGTCATACACGTAGTACATTTCAACGTTTATAAGACGCAGAGGTGTATAAAGTACTTTAAAAATGTAAAAGTAAAAATGACTTATGTTAAAACACTGTTTCTATGCAGGAAATACCACATAGAGCTCAGTGATTGTTTGTTAGTGCTCAGCGGTAGCAACAAGACAAGGAACGTGACGCTTCCTGTTTAGTGGAAGTTAAGGATTCAATCGCGTCACATGTGGTACATGAGGTGGAACAAATTTTGTATTCTCACGGTCCAGTTACATCCATAAGCAACTGCAATACGGATACAGTGGATCAGAAAAATAGAATAAAGTAGAATGGAGTAAAGTAAAAATAGAAACATAAATATACAAAAATACAAAAGCTATAGGGGATAAGGAGGTTTGGAGTAGCAGCAGACACAACTGGCCCTTTGAAGGCCACCATAACACTCGTGTGGCTCTCGGTGAAAATGAGACAGCCCTGAAATAGACTGAAAATAACAAAACAGACGACTATTTACAGGACAGCCATCTCAGTGAGCAGCTCTTATTTTAGCTAGCCGTGCTACAACACCTCACGTGTGGACACAGATCTGCTTCATCTTTTAAACAGTTTTTTTTTCATCATATTAAAGCCCTAAAATGTCTTTATATTCAGGAGCAACTGAAGAATTCTTAGCAGAAACCTCAACTTGAGAACTTGTTTGGGAAAAAAAACAGTTTTCTTTCCCTAAAAACATGTTGCAGTGCGTGTCTGAGAGCGGTAAGCTTCTGGATCTATATTAGCAGGCACGAGGTGTCGTCTCCGCGAGAGCAGGTTACACCGATGGCATCTCGCAGAAATCCAATCAGAGTCACTGAACCCCAATAAATTACCCTGTAAAGCAGGTGCCTCCTGCTGTTTGCAGCCTTCCTGCAAGCCTTTGCATTCATGTGCGTGCAAAGTTCCGCTACAAAACATCGCATTTTAAAATGTCGTTGCCACAGATTGTTGTGTTCTTTTTTAAAATGTATTTATTTAGTTGTGATGGTGTTTCAGCACAGACCCTATAAAGGATTCTAAACTCAACACGGTTGGTATTTTCTGACCTGCTGCGGCCCAGCTCGGTGCCTGCACTCGGTCGTTGCGATCAAAGCTGCAGCCTCCATGTTGTCAGTTCTCTCTTGGTCTAGTACCAGAGCGGCTGCATCTTTTCCGGTCTAATTGACTCCGATATAATCTGGGCAGATGTTGGCACCGGTGCAAATCAGCGCTGGCTTTCATCCAGTTTTCACCACTTTCCACTGTGTGTGTGTGTTAATGTGTCAGAGTGGGATAAGTTTAGAATGAGAACTACGGTAAGACTGAGGTAAGGATTACGGCACGGCATGTGGAGGTTAAGGCAAACATCCATGGAGTTGCTTCACCAGTGTGTGTGTGTGTGTCGCCATTCCTCAACACTATCGCCTTTCACCTACAATGTCAAAGTCGCCGAAGCTTGAATTTCAGTAAGATAGGTAAAAAAGTTAAGCTGTGCAGGGGTCTTTGTTCAGCTGATGTTTGCTTTAAATTCATCTGCTGTATTTCTGGCCTGAGCGCTCCGAGAATAGAGTTTCCGGAGCTCGGCAGATGAGCACGTTTTATATTTAAACCTGCTGGGGTGCAACACGAAGGCAACAGCAGGGCGGAGAATAAGGATGTAATTATCAGATGCAGAATATGTATCACCCTAAGTACAGCGGGTAAAATAAGTATTGAACACGTCACCATTTTTCTCAGTAAATATTACTAGAGGTGCTAATGACATGAAATTTTCACCAGATGTCGGTAACAACCCAAGTGATCCATACATACAAAGAAATCAAACCATAAATGCCCAGAAAGGACGTTATTTATAATAATGTGGAATGGTACAGGGAAAAATTTTTGAACACGCTTAATGAAATTTATCTAATAC